CCCCAAAACCCCAAAACCCCAAAACCCCGAATCAATATAAATTGAATGTATTGGTTAAAGTAAAGCAAGATAAAGTATTTAATTTAGATGTTACTCATTAGGAATATGTTGGGGACACTCTGGGATTTTTGACATTATTAAGAATATCCACTGTCTCCCCAATTAAATGTTCCAAAATTATATCACTTAAGTCAATCTTGACTTGAGCTTCTTCCATTTCATAATCTAGCCATTTCTCTTCTTATTAAATAAGCTATAAATATTTTAACTAGTCATTAATCTTACATCTTGTGCTAGCAATTAAGCTAAGCATTTTTCTCTTTAATGAGCAAACTGCTCCTCATCCATTTATTATGTCTGTGAGTGAAATTCAATAGTTCCTCCGTATTTCGGTGGAAGAGCACCAGCTTTGGTACGAGACCAACTCACCACTTTAGTCTTGACATCATATAGAATCTAATCAAGATTTTCAGTTGTATCAAACATAAACATTAAGTTCTTCCTAGGTTTTTTACTCCAAGGCATTGGTTCACCTTAATTCCCATATGGTCTAACTTAATTTAGAGCCTCATTCACACTATCGAAAATGACTTTGTTATGAATATGCTGGGACTCACTTATCATATCAGTAAGCTCATCATCATTACTGATACTCTAATGTTAGTTATTGCTCTAGAGCAAGTTCTACCTCTTTATTTGCTCTATTGTTTCATGGATCAACTAAAAATCTTAATAAATATATTAATCTTACATTTTCTCTAGCTTTCTCGAGGGTTAGGTATAGCTGAACATTAAGAATATAGGCAAGAGAATTTGTGAAATCCATTCCAGCCTCCATATCTCCATAATCAGGTCTTTGAAGATTTGCTAAAATTTCCAAAGGATTTTTATAAATAGGAGTAATGAAGGCTTGCAAAAACTGTTCTCTTCTGACAGTGATTTAGGAGAATATCTCATTGATGTATTACTCAATTGATTCAATAGATGTGTCTATGCCTAATCTCTTGATTTATTCTCTAGATTGATGAGTTAATTCCTTCAAAGATGCTTCAAGTATTGGATTAGGCTTTACTATTTAAGAGTATTTCTCATTTTAAAGTTAGACTATCTTAGAATCATCTTTGTACTATTAAGGTGATAAGGAATTCTGCTGATTTAATTGCTTTTATGATGGCATATCTTCCTCTGAAACTGTTACAGATCTTAGGGATACATGCTATTATGGTGACTGCTGATTTTAAAATTGATGCTCTTACTAGTTTGAATTGTAATTAGATATGTCAAATTAGGAGACTTCTTATCTTTAGAGTTGTTCTTAGGCTTGATACCTGATAAGATCTTTCTGTTTCATCAAAAAGTTTATTAAGAAAACATCTGTCTCTTAATGAATAAATTCTGTAAAAATCATTTCGCTCACCCTATCAGCATTTTCAATCTTTTACTGTGTTAACTTTTCTTGCTATGAAAAGTGGTCCACTGAATCTTCCTATTAGCTAATGAAATTTTATTCATCTTTAAGTTGCTATAACTTGCCTAATCTTATTAGAAGCTCAGCGTCTTCTTTATTTTTTTCTTAAAGAAATTTGAATTCCTCAAAATCATCTTCGTCATCCTCAAAGCTTATTTCTAGCATTGCTGTAGGAAGTTCATCTTTTTGATTGCTTGTTTTTGCAAAGTCATATGTTCTATCTTTTTCTTTAGGAGTCAGATCCATCTATTGGTTCAGACTTTCAATTACCCGAAGATTCTCATTAATCTTTTTTTGTAACTCTAGCTCTGGAATTTCCTCAGATTTTTTCATTTGATCTTTTATTGTCTCCTTCATTTCTTCCTCTATGGAAATATCAATTTAGCTAGAGCTGTCATCTCCACTACTACTGCTGCTTTGTGATGGTTGTATCTTAATATGTTTTTTGTAAGTCTATAACTAATCTTAGATATGAATAGGACTTTCTAATTTTTTCATCTGGAGTTAAAACTTAATGTCTTTAGCCTTTTTATTTACATTATCTATAATTATAGCTGCTTCTCTGCGTTCTTACTCTAAATCAAACAAGTTAATTGGCCTGTTATCCTCAACCTTTTCTTGAACCTTCTTCCTCTCGCTAGAAACCCACCTCTCTAATTCATATTTTCTTCTTTGACTTGACTTAGGTGAAAGCTCTTCTCTTCTTTCAAGTCTATTTATATAACCTTTTTCTAGTTTTTCTTGATATTTAAGTGCATCCTCTTTCAATTAAGCAATCTCATTATAATTTTTGTTTGCGAGCACTTCATTAAGTTTATTTGTGGTAAACTCCTTGAAGGGATTTCTTTCAAAAATAGAACCATTAGTAGCCAAGAAATAAGGATTTTCTGTCATTAATCTATGTGTTGGGGGTGCTGATCCTTCTCTAGGAGTTCCCTCTAAAGATAAGATTTATAAATCTAAATCATGGTTGTTGAGAAATTTTTCATCCCCAAACATCATTCTAAGCATAGGTTTCTTATCCTCTATCATATTGGTTTTTGTAGGTTGTTGAGAAAATAAGTTCTGCATTTATTTTATGTCAAACTTCTCTTCTTCATCATCATCAATTGGATTGTAAATTTTAGAATTTCTTTCACTCTTACTTAATTTCTCAGCTTTGGAGTTATCAAGCACTGATTCATTTTTTACTTTGTAGCCAAAAATTGGATAATTCACGAAATCTTCAATTTTAATCTCGTGTCTGCTAATATCTTGAATAGAGATATTTTATTGTTAGTTTTCCTTTTAATCAAACTAGTCAGAATTCGATATTTGTTTTTAAGTTTCATCTACTTTACTTTGGATATTAGAATCGTTAATCATTAATGATTCTTCATTATTTAAAGAATTTGATTCATTAATAGCAGCCTCAATTAGTTCCTCGTTTGTGTTTATTGGGCTGAATTTGATTATCTTATCAGTTTAATCTCCTTTAGAGCTTAAAAGAGAGCTTATCTAGCTGTCCTCATTAAATCTCAATTCATCATTTAAAACTCGCTTAACTTCAATAATATTATTATGCTTTTATGGGTCAATTTTTTATTGAAATTGATATGCATTTTAAGATTCTGAGATGCTAGCTACTGGAGCTTTTTGAGGATCTTATTATTAAGGTATCTACAATTCCGATTAAATAGCATCTTCTGACTCATCTTCAAACTCTATAGACATTTTAGAAAGTTCCACTTAGCTATTCTGATTGTCGCCATTTATCATATTAATTTACTCCTATAGTGATTCCATTAGGTATTCTTGATGAGTCTAAGATTATGAATGTTTTCCATAGCTTTCATTAATGAAGTGTTGATTTCTCTAAACTCTATTGGATTCCAATTTATTTTGCTAATATATCTACTCTAATTCAAGTTATAGATCAGAGATCTGAGCTTAACGCTACGGTTTCTTATCATTTTTAGCTTTGAATTTATCCAGTATATTGACTTGCTTTTATTTTTCAGCTAAATTTCTTAAAGCATATTTGAATTTATCATTTATATTAAGAAGGCGATCAAGATCTTTGCTGCTATTATTTTAACTTGAGATGTGCTTTGATTCCTCCTAGCTGCTTTTATACTGATTGAAACTACTCAAGTAAATATCCTTTGAGTCAGGAGGGAATTATGGTCTTGAGTCTTCTACTAGACTTGAATCCAATCTAAATGATTTATCCTCTATTTATTATTTTGCTTTTTAAACTGATTTTTTATCTGGGGATTTTTATTTTTCAATTGTTTTGTTTTAGACTGAAATTTATGGATTTGAAGATTAGTTATTATCTTCATAGTTACCAAATGAAAAAGTATGCTTAGGAGTTTTTTTCTTCAAATCATTTAGATTTTTATTACTCAAGGCACTTATTGGTAAAAATCTATTCTCAAGTTTAGTACTCTCAGATAAAACTTGATTTTCACTTAAGAAAATCTCTTAATTTGTTTGATTAAGAGATACATTTTATTGATATTCCTGTACTAACTAATTTTGCAAAATAAATCTTCTATTTTTTTTCAACAAATAGTTCCTAAAATTCCTTTAGATAATTGAAGCCGCAGTTGTTAGCACACAGAATATCATCATTTCATCATCAATCATGACATTGTCACTGATAGCACTTGTATCTACATCTTGATTTGTTTTTTACTTAACTAGTCTTTCTGGATTTTAAATAAAATCAAGTTGCTTCGTTCTATGTGGAGAGTCTAGTTGCTACATTCTATGCGTTGTTGCACTAGACTTAGATATTTAAGATTTTTAATTCAAGATATGAAGTCTATTCGAATTTAGATTTGGAGTATCTATTGATATAATTCTGTGATCTGCTTGTTAGCCTTTCTCTTTATATGAATGCTTTCTATTCAGACTCTTTGATCTACTTCGTTAATTCTATCTTCTAAAGCTTTCTTAACTATCTTTCTACTTCTCAAGTTGTTTCATGATTTTCTTGATTAGTCTCTGTTTTGAAACACTTTTTTTCATTTGATTGTTATAAACATCCTTTTATGGAGATATCTATTTCAAGTTTTTATTACTTTTTGCAATTTAATTATCGTTAGATACATATGAGTATATTATCTTGGTCTTTGGTATTTATACTTGAATTTTATTTACTGGATCTAGAAGTGAGATGCGGGATGACTTCGGGATATTCTGCTCTTTTACAAAGCTTTATTTGATCTTTAGCTTCTTCCTATTATTTATTGCAACCTGATTGTTTTGATTATTTTTTGGTGGACTAAATTTATCAATTCTTGATTAGGCTTTTTATCTCTTTTGAGATACAGATCTGTTATTCTGTTCAAGCATTGATTTTCTATTGTCCTTTTCTTTTTGACTAGGAATGCTCACTTGTCCATTTATGATATCTTTTCCTTTTATTATATTGGTTGAAGTATCAATGTCTTAGACGGTTTTAAAGTTATTTCCTCTTTAATTATTTTCTTTTTAAAACTCCTTACGCTTATGATGTCTTTTACTCTCTGTCTGCTCATTAAGAGTTTTTAAGTTGGCCATAACTTTCTAATGACTGATTATTTCCAGAATTTTCTCCTATTTCTGCTATTTTATTCTCTTCTTGAACTATTTTGAAATGAGTTTTTGCAATTAAGGATTTTCTTAGTGTTTTTTCTAGTTTATATATACTTCATTTTGCTCCTGCTATGCTTTAATTAGCTCTTTTTTTAACTTTTAAATTTTCTTTTTCTTTGATCTTTCTGTTAATATTTTTTCAATGCTGAGTTATTACTTATCCTCACCATACATACCCATTTCTTTCTTGAGCTCAAATATTTCTAGGCCTAAATCATATTTTTTCTTTTTTTACTATTACTCATTGCTAACTTTTAGAGGCATATCTTTATTTCTTCCTTAATGAAATGATTTAATAGGACTTTTACTCTTCATTTTTAATCCTTCATCAATTGTTTTGTTAACTTGTTTCTGGTTTATGCTTTATTACTCTTTAATAATTGCTAACGGAGCATTTTAATTAGGTTTTTAATAGATTAAGACACTTTTATTTTACTCCTTTAACTTTTGCTTTACTTGACTAGGATTCTGATTTCTTTCTCTGATCAACTAATTCTTTACTTTATTTTGCTATTATTTTATTGTCTTTTGTACCTCTTGCACCAATATCTATTGGAAAACTTTCTTCTGTTTTTATCCATGTTTCTTGAGATTATCTTTAACAATTCTATCAACACTTCAACTTTTAGAAGATCTCTTGTCCTCGCTTCTAACCCTTGAGACTATATAATTTTGCTCGTTTGATTACTCATTATTCATATAATAATTGCCAATGAACTTATTTTCTCTTCTTTTTGGGGACGTACTAGGTGTTGAAAAACGATTATCAAATGAGGTTTTTGCTCTTTTTTTATTGCTAGAGTTCTATTACTTGAGAAAATGCTGCTTAATCTTTTCACCCTCTTACTCTAATTTCTTAATTCTACTTTCTTTGATAATATTTGCCTTTAAAATTCTTTGAATCGGCTATTAATCTTTGCTATCATTCTTCTATAGTTAAATGTGTTAAGGAATCAATTCAACATCAAAATCAATAGAGCTCATTTTATTATTGAACACATTAGATTATTGATTAAACAAGTAGACATTTTTATCATTTTCTTTATTTTTGTGACCACTCTTATTATTGCCATAGGTCTTTAATTACTCCTCTGATCTTTTTCTATTATCACGAGGAGAATCAGATTTATCTTTGTTAAAAGTTAATAAGAATGAAGTTGCAGGCTATTTAGTCTAGTTTTGATTTTACTGCTTTGAAGTTTATTTCTGCTATTCTTACTTCTTTATTTTCTAATTATAATTTGAGTATACATTGAATTGGGTTTTGACTTAATTTTCTTTAAGAGGACTCCTATTTGTTTTGCTTGTAAAAGGAGGTATCATGCTAAATGATTTATATTGATCTTGCTGATTTTAAGTAGTATTTGATTCAATATTAGAAGAGAAACCATTCCCGATACCATTTACTGCCAATCCTGCTGCTGATAGCCTTTAAAATGTCTCACGCTCTCTCTAATTTAGAGGTACTCTATCTAGATATTTTATGACAAAATATAAACAAGTACCAATTGTCTCAAGTGTATTCTGAGATACAGTTAGTTGTGCATCGCAAAATGAAAGCTTCCTACCCTTGATTGAGTTAGATCTGCTGGAGTTCTCAATTTATCGTGGAGCATTCCCTGAATCTGCCTTTGATTTCCTCAATTACTTTGATATATCAAATCTCTCAGCAAAATTTATAATTCTAATAGAGGAAGTATTTGAAATTATATTTATTTACTTCTGATTCTTGGATATTGGAAGATTATAGTCTCTTTTATTTTAAAGACTTTTCCTTTCCATTTAAGTTGTAGTAAAGTATTTTAATTTGAAATATTTGAATTTATATGTTAACAATCAATTACTACCATGGGGTTTTGGGGTTTTGGGGTTTTGGGG